TGGAGAATAAGCCACAGTCTTTGCTAAGGGAGACAGTCACAGATACTCCCTTCTATAATTCGGTATGTTGGAAACAGAGTATTATGAAACTGAGGGGAACAGTCAGCAGGAGAAGACTTCCTGGAAAAGATGACATTTGGATGGGCCTGGAAAGACAGATGGGCATTTGTGAGTGAGAAGAAGAGAAAGTATGTTCTATTTCTCATGAACGTTACATACAAGTAGAACAGAGGGTGTGAAAGTCTGGGGGTTATTAGGGAATTGCACGTAGTCCAGGTCCCTGAAATGTAGGCATTAAAAAGTGACGGGGAAGTTAATTTTTCATGTCATTGTTCAGAATCTTACATGCTATATCAGTTTGGGGCTTTATCTTTGGTTTAATGGAGAACCTCCATGGATTAACGTGAATTCTACTTTAATTAGGAGCTGCAGATTCAGGTTGGTAACATGAAGCTGCCAGATGTGAGTAAGATAGCAAGAAATGGTCCTGCCCACAGGAGTGGTCAGGCCTTGTCTGAAGCCTTTCATGTATAAGCTATTTGAAAAATTGTATCTGCCAGATCAAACAGAATACTGCCCAAATCCAATCTGAAATTAAGACCCCTGCTCAAGCTATCCCTGAGAGCTTTTGGGAGGATGTTGTATAATGTTTGGTATGCAGTAGGTTGATGGTGTTTGTCAAATAAATGGATGATGGATTGAAGAGTGGGTGTGGGTATCGTGTGCAGAGATTCGTTGGGAAACTATTAAGGTAATTCAAGCAAAAGGTGATAGTTCTTGAGTTTGGGCACATAATTGAGAAAAGAGAAGCATAGAGGGATATGAGAAATACTGAAATGGTAGAATTGGCAGGATTTGATTATCAGTCACATAGGAAGCAAAGGAAGAATTAAAGATGACATGGAGATTTCCAGCTTGGATTGAATGGGTGGTGATGATATAAATCAAAAGATGATATAAATCAAAAGACAGAGAACATAGGAGAAAGAACAACTTGAGGAATATACTCAAGAATGTATGTTTCAAATATGTTCCAAAGTAGAACTTGAGAAGATACTGACTTGGCCGGGGGTGGGAGGTGGGGTGGTATTGCTGAGAAACTTTAATTCTTTCTAAGTGCCAAGGTACTTATAATGACTGTCATTTTTAGTGTGTTATTTTGGGGCCTTTAAGTCTCATTTTCTTTCATTCATTCATTCATTCTTTCATTCATTGTTCTTTGGACAGAGATTGTCCCAGAATCTTTTTTTTTTTTTTTTTTTTTTAAGGAAAATCTCAGTCTTGCCTACAAATATCCCTTTGGATATGTCTTTGGCTGTGTATGGGTATTTTTCAGGCATAAATCCTTGTTAAAGACCTTAACAGTCCTACACTGTTGATTGTCAAAGTGTATAGTTTTGCTCATTTTGCAGGTTTTACTAAAGTAATCTCCAATTCTTGACTTTAATCAAAAGTGTGCTTATGATAAATAATATTTGTAGAAAATTGTCTAATTTCTCTGTATGTTTAAACATTTATCCCTGAGACCATCAAAAATGGGTACTTGTGTTACGGGTTTTACTATTCTGACAAAGTGCTTTATATCTATGTATCTATATCTGTATCTACATATAAATAACCACGCTGGTGTTATTTTCTCAGCTTGCATTAAAAGGCTTGGTAAGAAGTGAATGCATGGAATCCATGAATCCATTATTATATATTCTGTAAGGCTATTAGGAAGAGTGTTGTGCCTTAGGAGATAAAAGGTCATTGTTCCCTTTATAAGGACTCTGGTAAAATTTTCTCTCAGAACTTAAATGCCAACAAAAGTAACTTCTGTTTGGGTTTTTTGGTTTTGTTTTTCCCTTGAGTATTTTTGATATTATGGACACCAAATTGTATACTTGGACTCTCCCTATTTGTTTTGGCTGGTAAGACTTTGAGAGTCAAGTTTATGAAGAGATTAACAATTGTAAAACAATACCTTGTATATGGGCACCTGGGTGGCTCAGTTGGTTAAGTAGTGTCTGACTTCGGTTCAGGTCATGATCTCACGGTTTGTGAGTTCGAGCCCCACCTTTGGGCTCTGTGCTGACAGCTCTGTGCTGACTGGTCGGAGCCTGGAGTCTGCTTCAAATTCTGTCTCCCACTCTCTCTCTGCCCCTCGCCTGCTAATGCTTTCTCTGTGTCTCAAAAATAGATAAACATTAAAAAGAATTCAGAAAAGATACCTTGTATAATTTTTGTGTACTAAATTATACCTTTCACTTGCTCTATTTTATTTTAGTTTGCCTTAATTTTTTTTGTTAAAATACTTTCTCTATGATTGTATTTATTTTGTTAGATATCACAGATCCTTTTAAATAATGAGATAATTCAAATAATTTCACTTCTGATTTTTAGTTTTTTTAACTGACTTAGGAGGAATTAAAGGGAAAAATCATATTCAAAATCATATTCAGTCACATAACCTACGTGTATAACTAGATAAATTCTTACAAAGTAAACATAGTTATGTAATTATGTCATAGGAACTGTTACCCCAGAAACTACCTTCTTGCCTAATCCCAGTCATTATTCTCTCAAGGTAACCACAATTCTAGCTTCTGTCATTAAATTTAGTTTTGCCTGTTTTGAACTTTATATAGATATAAATGGAATCATATAGTGACTTCTATATAGTGGACTTCTTTTGTCTAATACGTCTTTGAGATTCATGTGATAGCATTTTCATTGCTATAGTATTTCATCATATAAAGATATCACACTTTATCCATTTAATTGTTTATGGACAATTGTGTTGCTTTAAGTTTTACTTGTTACAAGTAATGCTGCAAGGGTTATGTATGCATTCCTGTAAGATATGTATCTAGGACTCCCGGAATGTAAGTGTGTGTTGAGTTTTGGTAGATGTTATATTTTTTCAAAGAAGTTGTATCAATTTTCCATTCCTCCAACATTGAACTGAGTGTTCCGTTTGTTCTGCATCCTGGCCGACATTTGTTGATGTCGTCTTTTCATATTTTAAAAATGTTTTTAGCCATTCTGGTTGTTTATTATGGAGTGTTATTGGAGCTTTAATTTGCATTTCCTGAATGCCTACTTGAAGTGCCTATTATGTGTTTATTGGCCAGTCATCTCCTTTGTCATGTATCTGTTCAAGCCTTTTGCCCCTTATGTTCTTCTGTTTGTAACACACTCTTACTGCTGTGACTTTATAACCTTTACACATTTTAGTATATGCCTTCCAACATTGTTCTTCAAGATACTCCTTTTTTTTTTAATATATGAAATTTATTGTCAAATTGGTTTCCGTACAACACCCAGTGCTCATCCCAAAAGATGCCCTCTTCAATGCCCATCACCT